ATAATTAATATCTCTTATTAAATATTCATGATCGGTCAATTAACAACCAACAAAGTGAATAGGTCGATATATCGTCTTGATTGTGAGTTCGATCTCTCATCCTCACATGTTGTATTAAAAACAAATGTATATTATAAATATTCGGTTGGTAAAATTCTCGTATATATATATATATATATATATATATATAATAATACACGTTAATTATGAGATTTTTTTTAGTATAATAGGTGAGAGTCGAGATTCAAACTCATAACTTTCTAGCCGTGTCTTAAACGATTTAGTTATGCTTAGATTGACAACTATGACCTTTTTTTTATCACGAGTTAATAATAGAATTTACTTTATTTAAAAATGTTTATTTTTTTATACAATAAATGTTACGATGAGAGATTAGATCTCTAACTACTAAAGAGGGAGTAAAATACTTTAACCGTTGAAATAAATTGCCAACCTAAGTTTTCATGAATTTATATATGATTTATATAATTTTCTCGGTCATCTCCCACCAGTAGTAACTCTTTCCATATATGATACATGAAGTATTTTAGACAGTAATACTAAAATATTTATTTAAAATATTGTTCTTTTCGGAACTCGAAATGAAACACTAAGAAAAGAAATAAATAAAAAGATTGATTTTTTTTCACCTAAAATTAATTCATAATTTATATTCATTTCAAATATTAGATAAAAAATTAAATAAAATTTTTATTATCCAATAATTTAATTGAAAAAACTCATGGAAAATGAGAATTATTTTTTTTTGTACAATAAATATGGAAATGAAAGGTTGAACCTCCCAGATCTAAAAAAGGTAAGATATCTTAATGGTTGAACTATTTTCGTGTTTAGTAAGAATGACTGCAATTAAGTTTTTTAATTAAATGAGATGGATATATTTAATCAAGCAAAATCATTTAAAAAAAACTATTTTTATGTGACAGGTTATCATTTCATTATTCGATTTCGTTAATAATTGGGAATTTAATTAAATAAATTGTGTACCTCAATTTTGAAGATGTTACAACATTAAAAATAAAATTAAAATTGGTATATACGTGATATATTGGATATAATTTTTTTATATTTGTTTAAAAATGGTAGATAATGTTTGGAACATAATCCAAACACATTTGGCCCTTCTTATATGCTTTTACTTTAGAATCTCATACCTTTGAAGAGGAAAAAAGAAAAGAAAATGGACTTTTTTTTTATACAAGCTTTTTTGGGAATCTTCACTTTGCATCCAAAACTTCATGATGTAGAATAAAAAAAAAAATAAATAAATAGAAGGTGAGTTTCGTAACATTAACTTTAAAACGATGGTAGCCAACACCTAAGATTTGAGAAGAGTGAGTGTGAGAGAGAAAGAACCTTCACATTTGCTATTTTGGATCATAAATTACCTTTTTTTTGTTACCACTTTTGTCATAGAATTCTTATCCTTGAATGTTGTATTTCACGAGGAAGAGAAGTCACGTTATTTATTTATTTTATTAGCACAACAAGTCCAGGTGGAGAAATTCAAACTCATGACGTCTTGGTCAAAACATGTGTCAATTACTATTGAATCAAGTTCATGTTAGTGGAGGAAGAGTGGAGTTGATCTTTGAGATATGACAAATCTCAAATTTTGCATAAAAATAATTGGACGTGAAAGAATAAATTAACAAGCACTCAAAAGATAGTGACCAATTAATGAGATATAAAAAACGAGTGGTTAAGACTTATATCTCCGACCAAAAAATTGGATTCGAATCTCCACCAAACATAGTGTTAAGCTAAAAAAAAAATGGTTGACGAGAAAATAAACCTCACCAAATAATTTAGTAATTTATATGATAATTTGTGTACAATAAAGTAAAATTCACCAATAATCCCTCCCTCTCGATGTCTTCCACATCTTTTTTCTATTTCCCCTTTTTATTTTGAGTTAACGTCTTCCTCATTCAAATTGAAGAAAAACAGTACATTTAAATTGTCTACTAATCTAGGCAAATTAAAAGAAAATTATATCGAATCCAATTAAAAAATAAAATTCACGAATTTGAGTGTGGTTCACTAAGAATGGGTCGAAAAATATGATTCTATCGGTATTTTTTTTAGTACAACATGGGGTGGAAGATTGAACTCACAATCTCATAGTTGGAGATATATACCAATTATTTATTGAAATATTGGTTGAGTATATGACCTCAAATCTCTACATTTTTTATCGATTCATTTAAGCATGGTTGATTATCTTTGGAATTATTTGGCCTTGGAAACTTAAAAATTGAGAATGAAATTGAACGGGGTATTGCATACAAAGGTATAAGAAGTTGCGACAATTGAACATATTCTTTTATAGTACTATTATCGTCTTTTCAAACAACACACTTATTTCATATATATTTTTAGTTTTCAATTCTTTTAAAATAATACTATGGGTGTGCTGCATCTATCTGAGACTTGAAAACTATAATGAAAGAGATACATTTGTTTATACAATTCTTTTTAATTGCATAATCTAATGGAGACATTTATTTATATTATATTTCAAACCTTGGAAAAATATGACATATATGTAGCGTTTAAAAAATGTGGATATTTTAAAATTTCCTAAAGTAAATATGCTAACACAGGTCGTAACTAACTAGTATATAAGTTTGATTAACATTGTTGGGCCCAGTCATATTTGTTGGGCCTCATTGTTCCTCCGTAGGACCTATACCAAAAGCCCACTTGGCCCAAAATATGAAATACCCATGTCTAGAAAATAGAAACAGATATTCGCATATCTCGTTGCATTACTGTTACTCTGTTAGGTGCCGTTTGTTTCTTGTGAACGTAGATGACCGGCATCTAGAGCTGAAGATGTTCAGAATGTTAGATGTTGGATATTTTCAGATAACCATGTTTGTTTCGTAGAAATATTTTTAAAGATATCTGGAAATATTTGGATAGTCTCATTTGTTAGGGAGGATTTATCCTGTGTTAAATTTATAAAATGTTCCAAAAATACCCTCATAAATATTTATATAATTTATAAATTCATCTAATATAATAGATTTATTTGAATTAATTTAATATTTTTTATTTTTTATAGGTTATATGTTGCCTGTAAAAAAATGTTGCTTTACAATTATATATTTATGATAATAAATATTATTAATAATTTCCTTCACAATATTAAAAATAAATAGATATATTATTTAATTTAATTGTAGTTTATTTTACATTTAAATCTAATGTACAAATATACTTAATATTATTTATTAAAGGATGAGTATATTAGTTTATTTTAATTATAAATTTAAAAATAAAAATAAAGAAATTTTTTAGAAAAAATTTAAAAATTTTGATGATGCCTTCAACACGGGAATCTTGGAAACCCGTGTTTCAAAAGGGTATCCAAAACTCCTAAGATGCCTCTCTTATGGGCATTCTAGGATACCCGAACATCTCGAGATACCCGGATATCTTACATTACTTCAAAATAAACATGGAAATCCAGATACCAGTCTCACAAAATTAAAAACCATCCAAAATAACCAGTAAATTAGGAAAATTTTTATGTAAAAAAAAGGGACAAAGCTAGTGAGATTTCAGGTGGCTGCCTTATTTACATGATGATTATGAAATTTCAAAATTAGTTACTTAGGCCATAACCATTTTATTTTTATTTTTTGTCCTAAAAATTTAAACTAGAAACACTTTTACTACTTTGTGTTTCATTATCCAAGTTCAGTTTTGAAAAAAAAAAAAAAAGTAATTTTTTAAAAGTCGTTCTTTGAATTTGGAATTTGGTCAAAGCTTCACATGTGTTTATAAAGAAGTTGGAAAACATACCAAATTATGAGAAATCAAGTATAGGCTTTAAAAATAAAAAATCAAAAGCAAAATAGTTACCAGATTGGTTCCACGAGTCTTTATCCTCTCTAATTATACTTTTGTAATCATCTTTAGGTCTAAATACTATGGTATATATTCTTTTGACTTCGTTTCATTCTTATATTTTTATTTTTAAAAAATATCTTTCAGTTTTTTTTTTCCCTTTCATTTTAGTCTTTGTATTTTTTAAGAAGTGGCCATTGTGGTATTTATTTGCAAGATTTTAACACCAGTTTTATATACAGTGAAAACTCTTTAGTAAAATTTCTAGTTACATCCAAGAAATTTAAATTTATTGAATGAAGTGTAATGCTAAAATTGTGATAGAAAGAAATAAATGCAAATGAAGATGGATTGACCAAAATGGTCACTTTTTTAAAATTGTAGGAATTAAAATAAACGTTTCAAAAATATAAAAACTAAAATGAAAAAAAATTGAAAGCACAAAAACTAGAATGTAGGTCTTGAAAAAATATATAAGGACCAAAATGAACCATAGCTTAAAGTATAGRGATCAAAATGATATCTAAACCTTATTTTTACAACAACTGTATAACAAATAATGTAATGTACTGACACGAGATTTTTATACCACATCAAACTTACCTTATTAGAATAAAATATATATTATATAAAAAATTTAAAAAGAATAAGTTAGCAAAGTATTTTTGGTCTAATTTAGGTATAAATGCACACGTTAAATTTTTAACACTCTTAGTTGATCCGAATTCTGATCCCTCGATAGATTCTAAGAAGAGGAATAAAGAATGGACCTAAAAAAAATCATGGTGAAATCTTACGTTCAAATTAGTAGAGGTTCAAACTATTTCTGT